TAAGTAAGTAAGTAAGTAAGTAAGTAAGTAAGTAAGTAAGTAAAATTATATTTATAGAGCACCTTACACAGAAATGGAATTCACAAGGTGCTGTACAATAATCAATAATATAGAAAGAGTTGATAGGCAGAAGGTGCTGTACAATAATCGAACACACTTGACAATTACATTACAAATGATGAAATTCTGGTCATTACATTCTCAAGTTTTTGGAATAGTAGGGGGCATGGAACAACAATGATGGAGAAAAAAGCATTTAAGGTATATACAATAGATAGGCTTGCTTGTAACTAATTGGAGTCGATGGTCATGGCGTATAAAATGTGAATGAATGGATACCAGTCAGRAGTAAAATACGTGTTTTGCAGTCATGGAAGTTTAGATTCAGGATTATGTTGTGGATGGCAGGATACCTTCAGCTAAATGCTTGAGTGAATAAATGTGTTTTTAGTTGATTTTTAAAGGTGTCAGTGTTATCAAGGGAGTGCAGATGGACCGGGAGAGCATTCCAAAGTCAAGGAGCCATGGAGGAAAAAGCACGGTCTCTGCGGGTCTTGAGACGGGTAGGGGGGACCATGAGAAGGTTCTGATTTTGTGAACGCAAATTGCGTATTGGATTGTAGTGGGAGATGAGGCTTGAGATGTAGTTGGAAGGAGGTGCAAGACCATGCAGAATTCAAAAAACCAGACAAATATTTACAAATGTGATCATATTTTCCCAACTCAAAAAATGATGTTTTGTTAAAATCTTACAATGATGGTATCCTACATATTTTTTTAATCTAAAATCTTTAATGTCTGTTGTGGTCTAGTGGTAAGACAGCCAACATGGGACAAAAAGGTTACAGGTTCGACTCTWTGCCATGCCCACATGTCATGGTGTCTTTGAGCAAGACACCCAACTTGACAGCTTAATTAGTTGCCTGCTGCTCCACTTGGGTGTTTCTTGTGTGTCATGGGTCAAACACAGAGCACAAATCCTGTTAGTGTATGAGAACATGCATCGATGACAAATAAAATACATACAATTTTTTTGTACATTTTGATCCAAATCACACTTACTTTGTTTTGGATCGTTTTTCAGATAAYAGGGATTCAAAGTTTTAAAACCAGATTTGTTTGATTTGAAACTATTAAAAAAGGGACAATTATTTTATTGTATTTATACTGGATAGAGAGAATTTACTTTTGTAAATTCAGTTTAGAAATCACCAGTTCATTAATGTTTCTCATCTCTTCAGGTGTCATACCAAACATTCTTTAAATAGCTTCTTTCCTAAAAATGTATTTTTTCTTTATTTTTATCTTTGAATCTCAACAAAAATGTACGGGTGAGGTCTTTCTGTGACATGATTGTGAAATGTCACTGTGCCACAATCATGTTCATAATTGTGATACAAGCTTAAAAAACAGAGCAAAATAAAACAGTAAAGTACATTTAAAACTCAAAGCTAAATTATACTTGACCAGTCATTAATTAGTGATGGGTTTAGAATCAGAATGCTTTGAATTACCAGTTACATCCACATTTTCTTAATCCAAGCAGAAATCTTGCATTTCCAAAAATGCAACATACAGTTGAAACCAGAAGTTTTCATACACTATATAAAAGTACACACATTGTTTTCATACTATCTGACGTAAAATCAAAATAAACGTTTCCGGTTTTAGGTCAGTTAGGATTACCAATTTTTTTTCTATTTGCCAGAATATTGAGAGATTATTTTTAAGGCATTTTTTATTACTTTCTTCAAAGTCAAAAATCTAAATACACTAAAATATTATTCCTTTAAACTATTTGGGACATTTGATGTCATGTCTTTGGAAGCTTCTGATAGGTTTATTGAGAACATCTGAGGTAATTAGAGACACACCTGTGGATGTAATTTAAGGCACACCTGAAACACACTGCTTCTTCATTTATCATCATGGGAAAGTCAAAAGAAATCAGCCAACATGTCTGGAAGAGAATTGTGGACCTGCACAAGTCTGGTTCATCCTTGAGTGCAATTTCCAGATGCCTGAATGGGCCTAGTTCATCTGTGCYAACAATTATACACGAGTGCAAACAAGATGGGAATGTCCAGCCTATCATGCTGCTCAGGAAAGAGATGTGTTCTGTGTCATTATCCACTGTGAGAAAAGTTTGAATCGACATAAGCTGAAAGACCACTCTGCCAGGAAGAAGTCATTACTTCAAAAGGAGTATAAGAAAAGCCAGATTAATGTTTGCAAATGCACTCAGGGACAAAAACTTTAATTTTTGAAGACATGCCCTGTGGTCTGACAAAAGTAAAATTGAACTGGCTATAACAAGGCGACACAGTGGCTCAGTTGGTAGAGCTGATGCCTCTCTGCAAGAAGTTCACCGGATCAAATCCCGGCCCGGGGACCTTTCTGGGTAGAGTTTGCATGTTCTCTCCATGCATGCATGGGTTCTCTCCGGGTACTCCGGCTTCTTCCCACAGACCAAAAACATGACTGTTAGGTTAATTGATAACTCTAAATTGTCCCTAGGAGTGAGTGAGAGAGTAAATGGTTGTTTGTCTCCATGTGTGGCCCTATGATGGACTTGTGACCTGTCCAGGGTGTACCCTGCCCCTCGCTCTGTGACTGCTGGATATGGGCACTAGTGATCCCCGTGACCCTAGAAAAGGAATAAACGGGTATAGATAATGGATGGATAGCTATAATGACCATTGTTATGCTTGGAGATAAAAGGGGGAAGCTTGCAAGACTGAGAACACCATCTTGACTGTGAACATGGGGGTGGCAGCATTATGTTGTGGGGTTGTTGAGGGACTGGTGCACTTCCCAAAATAGATGGTATTACTGTGGAAATACTGAAGCAATATCTCAAGACATCAGCCAGAAAGTTAAAGCTTGGGCGAATGGGTCTTCCAAATGGACAGTGACCCAAAGCAAACTGCCAAACTGGCTCAAGGACAACATCGACAGTGTTTTGCTGTGGCCATCACAAAGTGTCCCGCCCGGTTCGTGATGGTCTTTGTTAAACAAAACAATTCAACCACCAAAATACACACAGAAAACGCACAAAGTCGTTCTTTTGTTTTGGCCAGTTAAAAACTAACTGACTTTTATTAAATCATAATAATATTGAATGATTAACAAGTGGTCAGACAATAAACCAGCTCTCAATATTACACAATTAATTTCAACTTTTAAGCAGTTGAACTAATTAATTCAGCAGTTTGTCTAACAATTTTAACTAAACAACAGCAGGTTATTTTATGTACATTCAGGGTCAAGGTGTGAATGTGTGTGTGTGTGTGTGTGTGTGTGTGTGTGTGTGTGTGTG